AATGGCCCATTATACGTCTTGTTTTCTGTTTCCATTATTTTCTCACGGTCTTATTTACACTTATGACGGTAATCCCTGCGACTCACTCAACTAATTTCATGCCACAGCCTTGTAGCATTATGCGAAGCCTAACCTTTATGTACACCACTCTCTACGATCCCAGCGCCAAGGATAGGTTCAACTTCGCATCCGAATATAGCAGCGAACGTTTTCAATTGGCAACCGCAGCTTTTCTACCAGCCAAAACTGGTTTCGGATACGATTATTTTTTATCCAAGTTAAGGCACCCCTAAGTTGAGATATTTCCATCAGCGTATGCGCGGGGCGATATTTACGGGTGGACTTCCTGACTGACCACATAGCCGTTCATTTGGAGATATAATCTATGAAAGAGGACGCAGACAGCATCGACCAAATACTTCCAGTTGTTGTTACTCTTCTGCCCATACTGACTATATTTCACGTCAGAATGGTTCGGATTGTCTAAGCGGTAACCTGGTATGTTTGCAGTTTGAATCACAGACCGATGTGGTCCATTGCAGAGTTGTTGACAATTTCGAACAGAAACCGCTCGTAACTAATTCATTCGATATTCGATTTCTTTTCGACTGCGCATCTGACAGGGTTTCCGACTGAAAGAAAGAACAGGTGTCCACTGAACCAAAAGTGTTGTGTTTATTTGATTTTCGTCCATGTACCTTTCGACTGCCGTCGTATTCACCTGATAAGCGATAAGCTGCATTGTGTCGAAGGACCTAACTAGCACTACGATATTGTGACATAGTTAGGAACCGTGATTCATCGACCATGACCCCGAATAACCACGACATGTTTAAACAGTGCATGATTTACAACTGCACAAAGTACAGACCTCTGTAGACAACAGACAGTAAAACGTGAGGGGTATTGGCGGCAGCGTTAGAGAATTCGGCGTGGCGCGGTGGCTATAGCATGGCAATTTGCCGCTCTTATTGAAGGTAGACATTACGGCAATGCCGGTCCAGTCTACCGACGTGGTTTTATTTTGCCACAGGTTCGTGCAACTGGTCGGCTGCTACTGTTAAGCGGCAGTTGTTGCTTTCGGTCGAATTAAGGTCCTTTTCGAGCGCTTCCTTGTTTTCTTCTCTTATTGTTTGTAAGTTTCGTGTACCAAAGTTGAAACTAAGGGGTTGGAGTCTACTCGATTTAAAAACTTGAAAAAAATGCTTGCTCCATCGTACTGTGCAATCCGTTAGTGATACTTTCGCAACGCCCTGATTGCTGATAATTTTCGACCTCATAGACTACAATACTAATTTATGTTCGATCTTTTTATAGCATCGTTTGTCAAAGCGCTTTTCAAATTTTATTCAGTTTACTTTAAGTTTGATGCGGTCGTAATTTGTTTTTTGCTGCTGTAATATTTGGTAATTGAATTTGCCCGAGTTCGAAAGCTCCGAAAAATAAATGAACTTTTCCTTTGCTCACCCAGTCTTCTCCCTTTCATCTGTCGTGTCATCATCAGGAGTTCATCGTGGAATCCTTTTTTCTACATTATATTGGGATCCATTGTTGGGGCATGCACTGTGACAGTTACCTCGTTTACAACAGCATCGTGAAGACGCACATATGCAATCCATGTTTACGCTTATGTCCACGTATAATTAAGCTTCGAAGTAATCATTCAGATCAGTCGGGATCCCTTGTCAACCAGAGTTATCATTGACACTATTGAGGACATTGCTCGTCACCTGGTTCATTAGTGCTGTGCCAACCATCGCCTGGGGGCGTACCCTGCAGAGATAGACAGTGTTCATGTTTAGTTAGTCAGAACTCACGTGGCAGGGCTTTGCGCTTCTATGCACGATTATTTTTACTTTGCGAGAGAGCCCAGCATGCATTCTTGACCCTTACCCACTGGCAAAGGTCAGACACATCTGTCCTCACAGATGCCTTATCATAATTCATGATATAAGAAAGCTCGCAAGATGGATTTGCCCGTGTAGTTCGCATCAACTAGTTTTCAACATGCCCTTTTTATGCAGGTCTGGCCCCCAAGGCTGCTGATGCACGATGCACTTATTTAGTGACTATTGAAACTTTTCATGTCACGAAATAGTTACTGGACTCTGTAGCATTTTATCAGGTTGGCTAATCTCACTGCTGTTGCTAGTTGGCTTCTGTTTATTAATTAGACCCGAAAGCCTGCCTAACGTTGCATCTAGCCTTTACTGAAGATCGCTCTATTAACATCTACCCGTTGACGCAAAGGCTTACCAAAAAGTAGACTTCGTTCTTCGGAGTCTTTTGTCTTTGAGGAGAAGACGACTCGATCGCTGGGACAATACGTTTATTCACCTGACGTTTCGA